AATAATCTGCTCTTTTATTATATTAATACGTTAAAAACATTTTCATGTTACTAAATATACACATTATTTTTATTTTAAAAAGAAAATAAATTTGATTTTTCTAATTAGAAAAAATTAACTCATTGGGGGAAAGCATCAGACAACAGAGAAACATATATAGTTTTTAAAGACTTTATTTATTTTTAGACAGAGGGGAAGGGAGGAAAAAAGAGAGGGAAAGAAACATCAATGTGTGGTTGCCTCTTGTGCATCTGCCACTGGGGGCCTGGCCTGCAACCCAGGCATTTGCCCTGACTGGGAATCGAACCAGCAACACTTTGGTTCAGAGGCTGGCACTCAATTCACTGAGCCACCCCAGCCAAGGCTAGAGAAATATATTAATAAAAAAGTGAAAATTGTACTTCACTTTCTACCAATGGAAACTATCTACCACTAATCACATCACTATCCAGCAACAATCACAGACATATAACAACAATATTAGTATAAAAATATAATACAGATACTATGAGACTTTCATTCACACACATAGACACATATAAACACACATACATAAACTATATATTACATACACATATTTAAACAAAATGAATCACACTATGTACAGTCATATAATCTTTTCTATTTTCCTACAGAACATGAATACACTTCCATGTGAATATAAATCAGTATAGATTTTTACATAAATGTGATTATCCTATACATAATATTCATCCTGATTTTCTCCTAATATTATGACTTAGATGTCTTTCCCATTCCAATACAAAGAGATTTCTCTTATTCTTTATAATGACTGAAGACTTAATTTAACTTAGAGTTAGTAACACTCATACAGATTTATTATAATGTAACCACTACTCAGATGATAACCATTTAGGCAACTTCTGGTTTTTCAAATTTTCAAGCAACTATGATGAACATTTGGTTTTATGTGTGTTTGTGTTTATGTGAGAGTGTATCTTTGGATTCTTGTCCAATTATATCTTTACAATAAATTACTAGATGTCTAATAGCTAGACTAAAGGATATAAACAGGAAATTTATACTGTCAGTAAATAGGTGTAGCTATTTTATTTTTATCTATCTAAAGTTTCTCAGAAGCCCTTATGCCTCTGAATGATATAGGAGGCATGCAGATGTAAACTTGTCAATTGAAGATATCTTTCTTTCTTTTCAATTACAATTACTTTCGATACTATTTTCTATTGGTTTCAAGTATGCAGTACAGTGATTAGACTTCTAAAAGTATTCCCCCTAATATTTCCAGTACTCACTGACACCGTGCATATTATTGACTATATTTCCCATGCTATACTTTACATACCTGTGACTATTCTGTAATTCTCAATCTGTACTTCTCCATCCCTTCATTTCTTTCACCCAGTTCAACCCCCCACCTTGCGGGCAACCACCAATCTGCTCTCTGTGTAAGATATGTTTAACTCTTTAAAAACAAAGATTGTATTTATTTATTTTTAGAAAGAGGGAAAGGGAGGGAGAAAGAGAGGGAGAGAAACATTGATCAGTTGCTTCTCGCCAACCCACTTGAGCTACACCACTCAGGGCAGATATCTTTAAATCTTCAAGTTTTTAAAAATATTTTATTCATTTATTTTAGAGAGAGGGGGAGGGAGGAGAAAGAGAGAAGCATCTGTATAGTAGAGAAATATCTACCAGTTGCCTCTCACACACACCCAACCAGGGACCTGGCCCACAACTCAGGGAAGTGCCCTGACTGGGAATCAAACTGGCAACCTTTCAGTTTGCAGGCTGACACCCAAACTACTGAGCCACACCAGCCACAGTTAACTGCTGGGGTTTTAAAAATATTTTCTATTTTAAATAATCTCCTTTGAATAAATTTTGAGATTTTCAAGGTTTCTCTTACTCCTTGTCCCCAAGATGCCCTTATGGCAATTGAGGGCAGGATCCTAGCCACTGATTTTTCCTGGGGTCTCTGTTGGTCTTTCATTCTACATTGTTTGTGGGCACCATCTGAAGCTCATGGGGGGTTGGTGCTGGTTTCTTTACCTAGTCTGGTCTTTGAGACTAATGATGTCTACCTTCTTGGCTCTATCATGTGGCACCCACACCATAGCTTATTGGAATGGGACATTCTGCACAAGCATGACTACTGTTCCTATTATTCACCTCCAGGGATTGGTTACCCATAGCCTCAGCTTGGTGTTTTCTCATCCCAGTATGATTTGGGGAGTAAGCTGGCCCATGCCCCATTAACTCTCCAGATCCTTCTCCAGGTCCTAGCTATGCCAATCTTAATGCCATGATAAACTAGGGGATTTTTCCTTCTTCCAACTCATTATGCCATCATGCCATTTTTAAACTTGTGATCTTCTCAAGGGGAGCTGACTATTTTCCCAGTTTTCACTTGGGGATGCAAAGAACTGTCTCTATTGCTCTAAGAATCTCCCAAACTTACATTTACACAATGGAATACTACTTGGTTGTGAAAAAGAAGAAAGTTTTACCCTTTGTGACAGTATGGATGGACCTGAAGGACATTATGCTAAGTAAAATCAGCCAGTCAGAGAAGACAAACACGGAATGATTCCACACATATGTATAATTTAATGAACAAACTGAACTAACAAGCAAAGTAGACACAGACTCATAGAGGGAGAGCAGGATGACAGCTAAGGGGGGAGGGTAGGCTGTGGAAGGATTGAGCAAGAAGGAAAAAGGACTCATGGACATGGACAATAGTGTGGTGATTATGGGGAGGGTAGAAGGGAACTAAATGGTAATGGAAAAAATAAAATAAAGGGGAAAAAAAAAGAATCTCCCAAACTTATCTAGAACTACCCCCTTCTGCCTCCCAGGCAGCCCTTCTAGGAACCAAAAATGGCTACATTTTATGTTTTCCTCCTATCTGGACAAGACAAAATATCCCTTCTCAAAGTAGCATCCACTCTCTTCAATCCCTCAGGACTTAATAAGGAAACACACTGAGAGGTATTTAAAAAAATATCTATATCGCATACATGTTAAGGTCTTACCGACTTACCCTACAAAATATATGTGGTCTGTCCAGAAAGTATACAGTCATGTAATATGAAAAATAGAGACATTTACTGAGGAAGATACAGGATACAAGAAACATTATACACAAGACTATAACGTCTCAAAAGTAGTAGTCCCCTTCAAAGTAGGTACCTTGGGACCTCATACAGTCCTCCCAATCACTGTCAGCTGCCCCATTGTATTTTCCTGAATCTCATCAATGGTCTGAGACTCTGTATGAGACATGATGCATGAGTAGGCACATTGTCATGATGAAGCTGCCCATCACCAGTTGTCCATACCTGCAGCCTTCTGAATCATCTGAATAGTTTCTGCAGAGGAATGTTGAAGCTTAATGCAAAATTTGATGCAGATTTGTTGCTCTACTCGCTCAGTCATATTGAGTGCAAGGTCCCACAGTACACATGCTCACTCAATGGCGTATACCACCCCCACTGATTAGTAAGATGAAGTCGTCATTGTTCACACATGTGCATTCTAGTCCACTCTCCTTGGCTGCCAAGTTAGATCAATGTTGCACAAACCATTCTCAGTACACTAACAATGGCTGAACTTTTCCAGACTGGCCTCATTATAAACAAGTATAGTACCAATTTATACTCCCAGTAGCAGTTTATGAGATGTCCTCTCCCATAGTCCTTCCACCTCCATCCTAGTAACCCTACTAGCTGAACTTAGGCAACTGGTTGTGCAAAATCTTGTCATCTTAATCTTTTAATATGCATTTCTTTGAGGTTTAATGAAGTTGTCAGTTTTTGATGTTTATTTGTTCTTTTGTAAATTTCCAGTTCATGATCTTTGTCCATTATTCTACTCATCTTTTTATATTTCTCTTCATTTATGAGAGTTTGGCATATAATAAGAATATTTACCCAAGTTGCCATTGTGTTTAATTTTATTTGTGGTATTTTTTAAAAATTCTTATGAAATCAAATCTATGTCATTTTTTCCTTTTATGTTTCATTTTTGTCTTCATGATTACAAAACCTCTCCACACACTGATTATATGAATTTGAATCTACAATTTATTCTGTACTTTATGTTTTAATTTAAGTATGTAATATATTTTAAATTTATTTTGGTGCAAGATGCAAGGTGAGGCTCTTTATTTCCCAAATGATTAACAAGTTGTAATAATGTCCTGTTGCTCTTTGAAAAAAATATAGTGGTCTTGTTTTTCCAGAACACTGTAGCTTCAGTGTAGTAACTACTGAATGTAAGTGTCTACCATAAACTTCATTTTTTTACATTACACCAACTGTGACAGACCTAGGTATAACCAAACTTCAATCTCCTAGGTACAAAATCAACTGGACTTGGGTGAGTGGTAAATAGGAACTACTCCCTGCAACTCGGTTGTTAGTGTCATTCTTGAGCCAGTCCAGAGATGTTTATTTTAGAAAGCTTAGAAGTGCCAAGGACAAGTTCCCTTCAGCTGAGATATCTTTGGAATGCTGATGAAGTATGAATTATCTTGGAGCGAAAACTCCCCTGAACTATTAAGGACATCAACCAGTTACTGGATTTCCCCCATTTTTCCACCTCTACACAACTAACCCTACTAACAGACCTTCTCAAGAAGAAGGGAGGCTTTTTTTTTTACTTAGTCCCTGGATGCAGCCACAGTATGTTAGCAACTGAAACACCTGTATACCTGTACCTTCCTCCTTGCTTACCCTAACACAACAAACTCCCAAGTTATTAATCACCTCTATTCTATAGAGAGGTCCTTTTTTAATGTTCGCCATCCCTCCCCTTTCTTCGTCTCTAATTCTGACTTCCTCACTACTCTCTGTCTTGCACATCATGCTCAGGCAATTCAGGCTTGTAGTTCTCCAACTGTACTAAGCTACTTCTCTCTCTGCCTTGCTGTCTGTTGCTCTTCCCTCTAAGAATGTCTCAGCTACCCCCACCACCTTCATTTACCTAAATCCTACATAATTCTTTAACACTTACCTCAGGTATTATCACTTCCAGAAAAATTTTCTGTAGTATCATCTTTTTGAAGGCTGGGTGTAGTACCTTTCAGACATCCTCCTATAATATAGAATGCAAAGTTCTATCAATTTTTAGCTCATTGTATTATAACTATATATTTTTGTGCTGGTAAACTCACTTGATCATAGCTCCATGTTAAATGGAGAGGCTCCATCTTAATTGGAGAGACTCCATCTTATCTCACTGTGTATCTTCAACATCTAACAATATGTGGTACACAACAGGCCTTCAATAAATGCTTGCCGATATAAATTAACAGATAAATGAACTGCATCCTATCATTTGACTGCTAAACCAATCCCCCTGCCCCAATCCAATATTGAAGAAGTGCCATGGGGCATATGAAGAAAACAAATCTGCTACAAACCCAGTCAGAAACACATTTTAAGAAATTTCTCAAATTTAACTGAGACAGATTAGCATTGTGCATATGTAACTTCTATCCACAAATATTTGGCCAAAAGGTCATCATCACTGAACTGACTGTTCTAGTAAAGAAAAACTTGTATTTTTAAATTTAACTATGACTCTTTAGCATTGGGCATATATAACTTATATACACAAATATTTGGCCAAAAGGATATAATCACTGAGTGAACTGACTGTTCTAATAAAGAATAATTTATATTCTACATAATTTCTTTTTTAATTTTTATTGATTGATTTGAGAGAGAGGAAGGGAGGAAACCATGACAGGAGAGGGGAGAGAGAGAGGGCGAGGGGCAGTGGGGAGAGAGACAGAGAGAGAAACATTAATCGGCTCTGCTGTTCTACCCATCTATGCACTCATTGGTTGATCCTTGTATGTACTCTGACCCAGGATCAAACCCACAACCTTGGCATATCAGGATGACACTCTAACCAACTGAGCTATTCAGCCAGAGCTCTACATAATTTCTTGTGATTTTCTGTTTATGTACCTGTGTCTCGTATAACACTAAGAGTTTCTCAGAGCTCCACACCCAATACAATGCTTGACACATAGTAAGCACTCAATAAATGCTTCTTAAATGAATATACAGGGCAGGGCAAAAGTTGCTTTACAGCCATTCATGTGAAAATAATACAAAGTAAACTCTATTTTGTATACTAAAAACTGTAAGCCTACTCTTGCCACACCCTGTATAAGACATACACTCATGCCGTCTCCTCTACTGGAAATGCTTCTTGTCCCTCTCCTTTTCCACCTAAAAAAATTATACTTTTCCTTCAGAATTCAGTCAACTGTCAACCCTTTCTGACTCAGCATAAAGCAGAAAGTCACTTCCTCCTCTGGGCTACAGTACTTTTTTATGCATATCATTCTTGCAGCATCTATTATTGTACAGTAAACTGTAGTTAGTTAAATTTAAACACCATCATTCACTACTTGTGAACTCCCCAAGAGCAGGAACTTTGTCTTATTTATACTTATATCTTCATGTTCTGTACCTAAAATTTGTAGGCCTTAAATAATAGCTTGTTAAATTAGATTGAAGACACCATAAATAGAAACAGATAGATATACAGGTCCAGCATAGTCCTCTTGAGTGTGGTTGGTAGGGGAATAATATGGGTGTTATAATTTATAGTTTTAATTTGAACATTTCACCTAAAATGGTATATGATGTGCTTGAGTGATGCAGATACTGGCCTGCAGTGTCCACAGCATTATGGATGAGACAAGACAAATTTCACACGGACTACCACATCTGTGGAGGAAAAGGGATGGCACGGCTACTCCCACAAGGGGAGAGCGCCTCAGAGAGGCCTGGCAACTCTCTCAAGGGGAGAGCACCCCAACCTTTGCCTGGACAGGCTTTTATTGGGTTCAAGTAGCACAGGAATACATGTAAAGTTCATTGATCATTGTCAGGCAGTAAGGATCAAACAACAGGTAGCATACAAAGAACTACAAGGGCCCATTCTGAGTCAGGGTCTGTTAGCTAAAGGGCTACAAAACTTTGGGAATCAAACTCATTTCCTGCCCAGACCCTTATTATTTAAGTGAGAGCATTCTTAGCAAGGCAGTTTTTATAGAATTTTATGTATACTTTCTCAGGCCTGATCACCCGGAGAACCTGCCCTTTAGGGCTGCATCGCCCTCTGTCATTGTTTCAGGTTTAAGTCAGGCAGGGGAAGTAAGGCAGCCAAGAGATTAGGGGACTTCTTGCAGATAGAATGAGGACTCAGGCTTTGTCAAAGTCGAGGGGCGAGGGTCCATCACTCCCTTTTGCTGTAGCCCCCTAAGTCCTTCCCTGGGGCCTCCGTGTGATCGTGCCTGTCTTAGGTTGTTCCCTCCTTGGGGAATCTTACCTGTCATGGCTAACTGATCAAGCATTGGGGGCCAGTTATAGATGAAGGAGCAGAAGCAGTTCTCCTGCTAGGGAGATAAGCTTTGTCTCCTTAGTGGCTTATCATCCGAATGTCACTCATTCAGCCTTAGCCATGTAACCCCTCATTCAGGGGTTACAGCTCCTGAAACCAGGCAGGGCGGTTCCTAACACTTGAGTGTGATATTGTTATGTTACAGGATTACATACTTATGAGTTTGCAATAAAAAGGGGCATTATTTGCACCAGACCCCTATATGTTATGACAAGGGGTAGAGATCAAATCAAAACAAATTTCTAAATAAAAGTAGTAAGAGGGAGGAAAGAAGTAGAGAAAAAAATCAAGAATGATTAAGGTTTTGAACCTGAATGACTAGAACAACTGAGTCATTTGATCTTAAATAACAGAAGTAAAGAAATGAGTACCAGACACAGATTTGGGCAGCTGTGGGCAATTAGGACTTTATGTTTGATTTTGAACGTGCTGAGTTTAAGGTTCCAGGGAACATCCAGCCAACATTTAAAACCAAATCTAAATTTAAAATACAAGAGATGCAGGCTTAGCAGTCAGTCATTTATGGTTGGAGCTATCAGGACATATAAATGACTAGGGAAAAATATCTGCTTTCACCATACTGGTCTTAGTAAAAAAATAAAACAAAATAAGAAGTCAGTGCTAAATATTGGGAAGGAAGAAACAACTTATTTTCTGATGATATGATGATCTAACTGGAAAAGTATAAAATAAAAATTGATAAAATTGTAGCAGTCAAGACGAAGGGTGAATACACAAAAGTTCACTGCTTTCAGTAGAACAATAATACTTAATTACAAAATGTAATGAAAAAAACTATTCATGATAATAGCAAAACTATAAAATACTTAGAAAAATGTTAAGCCTATATGAATAAAATCATAAAACTTCACTGCAGCACATTAAAGAACATCTTTAAAAATGGAAAATCCAGCCTGGCTGTTATGGTTCAGTGGAATGAGCACCAACCTGTGAACCAAAGGGTCGCTGGCTTGATCCCAGTCAGGGCACATGCCTGGGTTGAGGGCCAGGTTCCCGGTCAGGGGTGTGTGAGAGGCAACCACACATCGATGTTTCTCACTTTCTCTTCCTCCCTCCCTTTCTCTAAAGATGGATAAATAAAAATCTTTAAAAAAATGGAAAATCCCACCAAGTGACTGGATGAGATGATGCAGTATCCTAAATGAATAATTCTTCCTAAATTAATGTATAAATCTAAAGCAATTTTTATCAAAAACCTAAAGAAAGTTTTGGAGATGTTAAAAGTTAATTCTAAAACTCAGCTGTAAGGGCATATCCTAGAAATGTTTGAAAAATAAGAATGAGAATAAACTTTCTCTACCAGAAAGCAGAACTTACATAAAGCAATAATTAAGGCAGCCTAGAAACGTATCAACGTGTTTCTGGGGATTTAGCATTCAATAATAGTGACATTTCAAATCAGAGGGGAGGAACATGATTATTTAATAAATGAACTTAGTGTAGCTTCTTTTTGTATTTTTAACATCATTTTATTTATTGATTGATTTTAGAGAGAGTGAGGAAAGGGGAGAGAGAGACAGACAGACAGACACATCAATTTGCTGTTCTACTTATTTATGCATTCATTGGTAGATTCTTGCACATGCCATGACTGGGAATTAAACCCACAACCTTGGTATATAGGGATGATGCTCTAACCAACTGAGCTACATGGCCAGGGCTGGATTCTTATTCATTTGGGAAAAAATAGAATCTTTACTTTTAACCATATACAAAATAAATTCCAGATAGATTGAAGATCTAAACAAAATAAAAATATAGAAGTACCAAAAAAATACAAAAAACTTATGTGACAATATTGACATAGGAAAAGATTTCTAAGCAACTTAAAACCCCAGAAATAAAGTGGAAAAAAAAAACAGTAGATCTGACTGCAAAGTTAAAATTGTATAACAAATGGCAGCATAAACAAAAATCAAGTACATTTATTTTATTTTATTTTTTATTTTGTTAAAGAATTTATTTATTTATTTTCAACGAGAGGAGAAGGAAGAAAGAGAGGGAGAGACATCTCAATTTGTTGCCTCTCGCACGCCCCCTACTGGGGACTTGGCCTACATCCCAGGCAAGTGCCCTGAGAAGAAATCGAACTGGCGACATTTCGGTTCACAGGCCTGTGCTCAACCCATTGAGCCACACCAGCCAGGGCTGAAGTACTTTTTTTTTAAATGAGTAAATTTATTCTTTTCATTCCTTTTTTTGAAAATTTTTATTTATTTACTTTTAGAGAGGGGAAGAGAGGAAGGAAAAGAAATATCAATGATTGGTTGCCTGTTGTGCACCCCACACTGGGGACCTGGCCAGCAACCCAGGCATGTGCCCTGACTGGAAATCAAACCAGCAATCCTTTGGTTCACTGCCTGGCACTCAACCCACTGAGCCACACCACCCAAGGCTCAAATACTTCTATTTTAAAACTAATAAATACAACTGGAATAAAATATATCAATAAATTAAGGAGTTAATATACTTAAAGAATAAAGAGTTCCTTCAAATCAATAGGAAAAGTAAATCCAAAGAGAAAGTAGGCAAACAGGCAATTCAAAGAAAGTATATATTTTGAATAAAACAGTTTTAAATGTTCAGCCTACTAATAATCAAAACACAAAAATAAAAACAATGAAAGCCTTTCCTTTTACTATAAGGTTGAT